TTTAATGTTTGATGGTGTCATGCATTTGTTCCAAACTACAGAGAAAATGTTTCCAATACGTTGTTTTATTATAGCACGATCCTTATGTGTTGACTAGTATTTAAGAACTTTCGTCATCCCAATAGTGTTCAAATGAGCGAAACACAGACCTATCCATAGGCTGTAGTTCGTGCGTTGTATTGCTTGGCAAGCAATATAACGTTATACCCAACTCTTCTGCGACCTTGACAATAGAATAATCCAGATGACACTTAGCACCATCGAAAATTAAAAGAGATTGACCAGCAGCTTTGTATTTGGCAAAATGATGCAGCCATTGTTTAAAAGCACCAATGGTCATACTACCTTTCGGAGTCATTAACACCATACTAGAAGCCGGAAGTGTATCTGCTCATTCAGGCTTCATTCTTTTTTCTTTAAATATAATTAAGGGACGAATCGCAGAACCCAGGGCATTGCCACAAGATACTATTGTGATGTTTTATCCATGCTCATTTGCCACAAGATGCAATCGCTTTGCTCCTTTTTTGCAAGGACTGTTTGTTGGTGGTGTAATGCTAACCGACAGCTTTCCTCATCCATGTTGTAGATATGCTCAGTCTTGTCCATGATGTCCATGTTAGCAAGAATTTCGCCCAATTTTTCAAAATGGTCACTTACAATAAACCTATTTAGTTTATGAGCTCTCGCGGAATTCATGCTTTGAGCTTTCCGATTCCTCATATTCGGCTGCCTGTTGAGAAAACCTTTTAGCCAGTATCGGCCGCCAATTTTGTAACTTTATCGAAGGGATTATGAATTTGGTTGGTCTCACAAAAATTAAACACGCATCGTCGTAAAACATTCGAAGTTAAGGGATAGCCTACTTCCGCCAAACGAATTATTCTTCCACACAAATGTTTCTCCTGTTCTAAATTAATAACTGATTTGCGACCCATGGCAGATTTTGTTGTTTGATGGTTACGTTAGTCTCTCAGGGTCCTACGAGGAACCAAAAATTCCTTACTTGCTGAATTTACAGACACGCTATTTCCAACAGCTGCTAGGGCACGCTGCATATTTTTTTTTTCGACGATTTCCGTCTGATACCTCGGTTTATTGCTGTATTCACGACGATTCTGTAAAATAATGAACGATTCTTTAGTGTAAATTCAAGAAAACATGAAAAATATTCATGTCTGGCCATATCGCCATTAGCGATATTGCTACGCAGTTATTTTGGCGATATTATAAACATGCGCACATTTTTACTGTTCTTGCTTACTTCAGTAAAAAAACATACGATTTTTAAAAGTCTACCATTACTTGATAGCTCATTCTTTAGTAAAAACTACTGCTGACAAAAAAAAAACACTAACCAGCACAAGCTTTGAAATATCCAATAAATATCACAAGTAATCGGTGGTGGTGGTGGTGGAAAAGCAGTTTAGGTGGGAAACCAACTGCTAAACGAAAATGTGAGGTTAGAATTCACCACCAATTGAAATGTAGATTGCTTTTACTATTAGGAAAGTACCCTAAGCGCCATTTGTCTTTCAGAAACCAAACCTTCCAAAATATGAACCCTTGGCGTTATTGCCAGCTTGGCGATATTGTATTCACATAACTTATTTGGAAAAGTATGGCTATTTTCTATTTCTGAATGCAATTTTCTGAATGTTGAAAGTTAATTGAAAAAGAAAATAGAATGTACCATTTTCCTTGTTACTTTATTAGTCCAATTAAATAACGAAAAAAGCCCCTTCTAGCTTACATTAATTTGTAATTGGATAAAACAAAGTGGACCTTGTGTATTTTGATGTGATCTTTCCGAAAAAAAGAAAAAATGATGTAGCAGTTTTTCAATTTTTTTTAAATTAGAAAAAACCGGGTTTTCCGGAATTTTCCATGGTAAAAATGCTAATTATCCGGGCAAGTATCATTCTGATAGTAAAATTAAATGCACCAATCGAAAGAGGAGGCAAAAATAATTCGGAATTTCATTGCATAGGTAGTTTTAATGGCGAGTTTCTCCCCACCAGAAGTGCTTTTACCAAAACGTTATTTTTTCGTTTCTTTGATCAGAATCATGAACATGAAATGTGCGATGAATTTGTGGCGAAATTATAAATGTTAGACATATGTGCCCATGAGAGAAGTTGCGTATTTTTTTTTGGGCTCTCAAATAAAATAAGTCCCGCGGCGAAATCTGCCATAATTTTTCGGGAATTCGCAGGAAACCGGAAGGCGTAATTTTTTTTTAATTTTTCACCATATGATTTTCTCCGGGTTTTCCGAAAACATGTAACAAAAAATATATTTGAAAAAACTAACTGCGCCATCGGAAAGAGCACAAAATAATATACAAGAAGGTATACTTTAAAAATGTTAGGAAATTAATCCTAAGCTTGAGTGTAAGTTCCAACTTGGTGATAAGCTTGTTTTTTGTTCTCTAACATCTGGTTTTCTTCTCGGTTGATGCTCCATCCTCCTTTTTGTTTTGGCATTGTCAATCGCGGCCCTTTTATGCCTATCTCAGGTTTTATAAATGAACTCTTTTTCGTAACGTCGAGCTACGTTATGTTTGCGACACCTTTCATGCAATATAAAACCTGGTTCTGAAGAACTGAAAAAATCATCCCCTCTCTCTTTGCTGACCATCTGCAGACCTTTCAATCCTATCGGTCTAATTGGGGTAAGTTCACCCTCTGCAAGTTTCTGATGACATAATAAACACAGTCCAGCCATTGCAACCTGGAAACAAAAAAATTATAGCACTGTGATAGAATTTTCTTAATTTAAGAACGTACTTACTTAATAAATTGCTGAAGAAGTCCGAAAAACCACGTGTACACAGAGCTTGCTGAACACGGTTATTAAAAATCTATGCCGATATACACTATCAAGCGATTCAATTTGTAATAATATGACCGTTTCAAGTTTAAACTTGTCGGATAGCGAACGTCGAGACCATGACTATCCTTGATACGACGTCCGGCTAATTTTGCGGTAATTCTATTTTTTGCACAAAACTCAAGAAACGTCTTATAAAAAGTTAGTAAAATACAATTTAATAAATTTTAGGCCTAATAAATTTAGGTATGTAAAAAATTTAAAACGGGAAATCACAAAAAAATCAATTTACAGAAATGCACGAGTTTTGGATCCCGCGGAGCGCGTATAATGGGACATTTGTCGGGAGAATTCTACAACTTAGAAGAAACGTACACTTTAAACTTTGTATACACATTGAGAAGACATGAGATTTGGGTTTGCTTAATTTTCAGACCAAAAAACTGAAAATCGTCAATTTTAGGCAACTTTTCTCAAAAACCGTGTTTTTTGGTCGTCACTCAATGAACAGTGGTCAAAAAAATAGATAAAATATTTTTGCAGATTTTTCCGTAATGTATTCGTATTCTAAACACAATAAAGTACTCTTAAAAAAGTTTTGAGCCATTTGGTACATTTTTGGCAACTTTGTGCCACTTCAAACTTTCGAAAAAAAATTCAGTTTTTTTTTAGGGAAAAAAATTTGATAAATTGTTTGATATCTTGGCCAATTAAAATTTGATTTCGGTAAAATTCACACACGTATAAGATTTCATATTTAAGAGTAAGCTCTGTAAGTGGCATTAAATAAATTTAAATAGTTTGGCCGTTATAGGCAAACAATGAAATTAGGCTTGCGGTACACTTTGCCCTTCCGCCATATGCCCAATTTTGGGATTTCTCTTGCCCCCTTTTGGGAATCAATAGTCACATCCCTTATGTTTAAAATGAATTTTTGTTTCTTAAAATATCTTACTTTTTACCAAAGTTATGAAGAATTTAGTGTTTGAACATTTAACAAATTCAATTTTTCGACCTTCGCCGCCTCAAAATACTAAACAAATTTTAATCGTCCATACCGCGAGAACGGTGCATCCGATCAAAATTTCTCAAGAGACATAAAAATTTTTTTTAAGCTTTCAATTGTCGTAAACTGCGTTTTAAAAATAATGATTTATTTGCGACATGCGCATGCGCAAAATTGAAAAATTGACAAAATCCAAAATTTCGGCACTTTCGAAAAACTGCTACATTTTGTTTTGCCTTTTTTCGAAAAGATCACCTCAAAATACATAGAATCCATTTTGTTTCATCTAATTACAATTTAATGTAAGCTCAAAACCGGTAATTTAATTCGATTATATTTACCCAAATTTCAATAAAGGACTTGTTTTTTCCTGAGTGGTTTTTCGATGTGAGACTTCTCCAATAACTGTATCTTTTTTATTAATGTTATACACTGTCCCCTTAGATACTTCAGTATAGGTCTCACATTTAGTGGCTAGTTCATCCACATAAAGTGAAACAAAGTCTTTTCGAAGGTTATTAAATACATTAAGTACGATATATTTTTCTTCTAAAGATAATGTTACATGATCATTAGGTCGTTTACGCGTAGTTGTGCTTGCAGTATTATCCAATGCACTCGCCATTTTTATATAATTGTAAAATTATAGTATATACTAATGCAAAATTTCGAATCAATTAATGTAATTAATGAATAAATAAAGTCGGACTTATCTGTCAAAAGAAAATGTTAATTACAGTATGAATCATGAAAACATGATTATCGTAAAAGAAAACTTTTATTAGTCCGACCAAATGTTTTATATTTTCTACAAATATAAGTAAGAATATAAGGGAGTATATGAATTAGGCTATTCCTAAAGTTTGCACCTCTAGTTTACAAAGCCTGATTATTTTAAAAGAGTTTTGGTTTTAAGTTGGTATTCTCTTCTATGGGTATGTGATCCAAAATTATCCTTGTACTAGATTTTTTATTTAAATTAAAAAATCCCAAACGCACAATTTAATCAGTCCAGTTATAAACCGGAAAACGATTTAATCAACAAAGTTTTGACATCTCAAAACTGGTGTCTACGCCGCTGTTATTAGCATTAAAAATCCTTGACAAAATGCAGGGTCGTCGGGTACTTAAATTTTACGTTTCATTATCTTATCTGCAATTACTTATTTTCACACATCTTTTTTGCGTACCAAAGTACCTGTTCGGGACCAGTTTGCTAATAGAAATGTTTATTCGAAGTTTAATCTCAGCGTGAGATATTGTATTAAAAATAGGTTTTAGATTGTTTTTATCGGGAAATGATAATTTTATAAAATCGTTGTACTCCTTGAACTATAATAATAAAAACAATAATAATATTACTAAATTAGTATTATGGCATTGTTGGGGTTGAAGACTGGCTTGTTTTTTGCGGCAATGTCGACAATTTATATGTTATTTAAAGTGAAAGATTACTTATATGTGCCACCAATACCAGCATACGAGGAACAATGGTGGGGACCGGGTGAACCCCATCCAGTTAATGAGAGCGTCAGGCCTTTCAGGATTAATGTGTCTCAAGAGGTAACATTTATTCATTTATTATATCATGGAGACGTTTGTTTCAAATAAAAATTAACGTTTTTATGATTCTATTATCATAAAAAGCAGTTATTAAAACTTGACTATTAAAGTCAAGAAAAGGGATGAACTTATTTAATATGCCGAGTGTCCCGTTATATTTGAATCTTTTCAAACCCATATATTTTTAAACTGGTTTTTATTAGTTTTTTTTTACTGAATATCTATCGGTCTTTTTTGGTTTTTTTATATAGCGCATTGACGGCATGATGGCAACTATGTGATTTTAAATAGAATATCCTGTATAGTTGTAGATATTTAGGAAATATATTCTTTTTATTTTCTAAAAATGTAGCATACTATAATAGTTTTATTAGAAGGATTTAAAATAATTGCTATGTAATATACTACATAATTTAATTAATCACTTGTCATTTTTATTATTTGATTTTATTTTTTAATTATTTTTAAAACTCATAATATAATATAATACAATAAATAAATAAAAGAAGATAGTTTCTGAATTATTGTATAAAAATATACGAGACTTCCATTTAAAATTAAATAATCATCGAAAACGACCCCGCACTTCTCTTATGTAAAATGGCCACCGGTTAAATTTTCTGAAACTGGTATATTGTTGTACTCAACCTAGTAACAAAAAGTGACAATCCTATGATTAGTTTTCGATTTAAGTTAAAAACTGCCCAGTTTTTTTCAATTTTTATTTTCAAACGACTAGGCAGCCGGCTTATGGAGAAATGGGTTCTGGTTAATATGCCTGAATTTTTGATATGTTGAAAATATAGACTTCCTGAAATCAAATAATATTGTTTTGTGTAGAAAAAGTATTATTTGATACAGGGTGATTCAAAAATCAACAAAAAAATTATTGATGCTGTGTATTCTACTTTACAGTGGGAATATGAAAATATTAATATTTGGTCTGAATTAACTTTAGTTGGACTTATTATGAGAAGGTTTAAAAACATTTTATACAGGGTGATTCAAAAAGTTGATTGACTCTGCAGGTTATTTTTAATACAATTTTATATATTTTGTAATACAAGTCAGTAGTCGACATTGAACCATTTTCAGAAATATATAATTTATAAATTAAATACAGGGTGATTCAAAAGGTATTTAAGGTAGAAAATTACGAAAATTGATTTTTTCTGCGAATCACCCTGTAATTTAATATTTCCTCCGTTAATTTCTCTATTTTTTCTTATTGTCTTTGATTTGAGTTTGTTATTCCCCTATAGAAGTTTTGCGAAGTTACTATGATCCGTTTTTTATATCGACTTTGTGATAACAAGTCTGTCACAATGTATACGCTTATACCTTAGCTCATAAATATGTTTTTGTCTTGTTTAATCATTCAGGATTTATGTCATTCTATAAATAATATGTAACATATAAACAAAAAATGTATTAATATTATTAGTAAGCCAAATATCCGAAGTCGCAAATATTATTGTTTTTTTATTAGACATAACCGCATTTTATTCATAACTAAACTAGTTGATGCTTGTCGAGAAGGATATTAAAATATAACTTTAAAAAATTATCTGATACACCATGCTTAATTTTTAGGAAAAATCTTATCAAATATTTTCCTGTTATATTTTCATCTTGTTTAAAAAAATTGCAACAATTGGTTAAAATTATTTTTTGAATTCTTTGATGGTTTAAATTTGTTTCCTGTAAAATTATCTATAGCTTATTCTATTACTATTAGCAGCTGTTCGAAGACTCTGGAGAAATTAAAGTAGATCATTTCTTACATATCGACTGTTAAGGGAACGTAACCCACCATGCAACATGTTCAAAATAGTTCCGTCTTTGTTAAGACAATGCTGTCACATTCGTACATAGTCGGAGACAACTAAGAAATAATAAATATTTACACTCAATAGAAAGCCTCCGAAAATTATCATTAGCGTTATATAATTATCATACGAGTATTGGATTTAGCTGGAAAAAGTACGTTAATTCTGAGACAATTTGGTTTACCGATTTTTATAATTCTGAATTTTATTGTATTACTCTGTATTTTCTTGTATATCCCTATATCGTAGACTAAGGATAAAAAGAGCTTAACTTTCTTATTTCAACTTTCTTTAATTTTTAAAAACTATGACCTTAATAGTCATTCGAAATACCATGAATTTATACTGAAAAACCTAACTGCAATGAACGATCATGGTAGGCTGTGAAAACTTGTTACTTATTTTGACGTATCTGTCAAAAATAATTTCTAAGCACAAAACATTCTGGTGTTTTTCTTATTAACAAGTGTTTTGTTTAGATGTTTCTATTGTCTAATAAATTGTAAAAAGTAATATAATAAATATAATATAATATAATTTAATATAATATTTCGTTAAGTTTCTTATTACTAATTTTTACGTTGGTTAAACTTTATGTTTAAGTGTTTTAAGTGTTAATTATGGCTTTTGTGTAACATAAAGTATAATATACGACAAATGGATCGTCTCTATGACGAAGAAAACATTTTACAGCAAGAACTTGCAATTTGGAGACGTAAAGCTTTTGAAAGACCCCCTTTGAATATTGATGAAGATAGTAGGGTATGTTTTAATTGTTTTCAATTTATATTGGTAGACATCAGAGCCTTGCAAAATAATCCCAATTGTCTCAGAATCAACGTACTTTTTCCAGCTAAATCCAACGCTTGCATGATATGTAATGCCAATAAAAATATTCGGAGACTCTCTATTGAGTGTAGGGTAAATATATTTATTGTTTCAAATATAGTTGTCCCGGACTATGTGCGAATATGTTAGCATCATCTTAACGAAAACGGAACTCTTTCGAACATGTTGCAAGGTGGATTACGTTCTCTTAACCGTCCATATGTAATAAATGATCTACTTCAATTTCTCCAGTGTCTTCGAACAGCTGCTACCAGTAATCATGGTCGAACCTATGAAGATATAGATAACTTTACAGAAGAGGAATTTAAATCGTTAACATCGGTTTCCAAAAATAATTTCAACGAGTTGTATGAGACCTGCAATTTTTTTGAACAAGATGGAAATCGTGTAAATATAACAAGAAAATACTTTGTTTGTTTATATGTTACATATTATTTATATTTCCTTAAACAAATAACGTTAGAATGACAAATCTTGAATGATTAAATAAAATAGAAACATATTTATGAGCTCAGGTGTAAGCGTATACATTGTGACAGGCTTGTCATCACAAAGTCGATATAAAAAACTGATTATAATAACTTCGCAAAACTTCTATAGGAGACTAACAAACTCAAATCAAAGACAATAAGAAAAAATTAGAGAAATTAACGAAGGATATATTAAATTAAAGGGTGATTCGCAGAAAAAATCAATTTTCGTATTTTTCTACCTTTTATACTTTTTGAACCACCCTATATTTAGTTTAGATATTATATACTTTTGAAATTGGTTTAATGTCGACTACTGACTTGTATTATAAAATATATAAAATTGTATTAAAAATAACCTGCAGAGTCGATCACCTTTTTGACTCACCCTGTATAAAATGTTTTTATACCCTCCTATAATAAGTCCAACTAAATTTAATTTAGACCAAATATTAATATTTTCATATTCCCACTGTAAAATAGACATCAGCATCAATAATTATTTTGGTGATTTTTAAATCACCCTGTATCAAATAATACTTTTTCTACACAAAGCAATATTATTTGATGTTATCAGAATACTATTACAGCAAAAAATTCTTAATATATTGAGAAAATTACATTTTAATACGTTTTAAAAAATGGCAATTTTTCAACTTCATCACCCTGTAGGTATGTTGAAAACTGGCCATAGGACTGTGCTGTGCTCATGGACACTATTGTCCAGGAAGTCGATATCTTTAACATACCAAAAATTCAGGCATATTAACCGGAACCCATTTTTCCATAAGCCGGCTGCCTGGTCCTTTACGAGCTTCATTGAATTTCTGTTGCAGCACATGGTTACTACATATTTAAGTAATACATTAGTACATACGAACAATTAAATATATTTTTAATTACAGGGTGATTCACAAATGTATAACGGTATTTTCTTGCAAAATATTATTGATTCTACTGCGGTGTTATAAAATAGTGATTTATAGAGAGAACCACAGCATACATTTTTTTAAGGAATAATTCAAAACCCTGTACTTATGAATTGATTTTTGGAAATAGTAGTACCATTAAAATATGTATATCTCTAAGCTTTAAAATATATAGTGATTTATTTGTTGAAAGATATTCTATTTAAAAAAAAGAACAAAAACCACAATTTTCCTGATCAAAGGTAACCATTTTCTCAGTATATAACAATTTTAACATTGTTTTATGAGGTACGAATCCTAAACCCGGTAATATGGCTAATTTTCGAGATACAGGGTGTTAAGGTGGATATTTTCTGATTTTAGTTATATTTTCTTTAATCTAAAAAGCTAGACTTTATGGATCATATATAAGTAAAATACAAATTTTGATCAGCTGTTCATGGAATGGTTTAAAATATTTGAAGATACAGGATGATTCACACAGTCAATAATTCTGCAGTTGCGCCTCAGAGAAATTACTTCAATAAGTTAATATCTACCCATTCACAGTTTTGAGGTTAAAAGATTTTGCTGTGTATTTTTTATACAGGGTGAGCCATGCAGCCATCCACCAATAATAAATATGTTTTGAAATTAATAATAGGAAACCTTGCATTTCTTTAATGACTTTTGAGTAAGTTAATATAAATTCTATGTAAACATAATGTTTTAAAATATACAGGGTAATCTTACTGTGACAATTTTTTTAAACTCGATACGATAATGTTAATAATTATCCATTTTCTTAAGTGGATGTAATTTAAATACTAGGTACTTTTTTCGTTCAGGTAAGTACTTCACAATATACGTGTAGAGCGAGTTCAGAGTTGGGCAAAGTCCTCAGTAAAAGGGCTTGAAGCATTAAGCCCTAACCCCCCTCTTTA